TCATGGTAAAACTGCCAACAACATAGAAGCTGATTGTATTAGTCTGCTCTCACACTGCTATAAAGATACTACCTGAGACGGGGTAATTTATAAAGAAAAGAGGTTTAATTGACTTATGGTTCCGCATGGCTGGGGAGGCCTCAAGGAACTTACAATTATGGCCGAAGGGGAAGAGGCATGTCTTACAGGGCGTCAGGTGAGAGCGAGCAAAAAAGAGCAGGGAAAAATGCCTTATAAAACCATCAGATCTTGTGAGAACTCATTACTATGAGAACAATAGGAAACCCCCCCGTGATCCAATCACTTCCCACCAGGTCCCTCCCTCGACGTGGGGATTATGGGGATTACAATTCAACATGAGATTTGGGTGGAAAAACAGCCAAACCATTATCATTCTGCCCATGGCCCCTCCCCAATCTCATGTCTTCACATTTCAGAACACAACAATGCCCTTCCAACCGTCCTCCAAGTCTTAACTCAAAAGTCCGAGTCCAAATTCTCATCTGAGACAAGGCAAGTCCCTTCCACCTATGAGCCTGTAAAGTCAAAACCAAGTTAGTTACTTCCAAGATACCATGGGGGTACAGGCACTGGGTAAAGTATTCCATTTCAAATGGGAGAAAGTGGCCAAAACACAGGGGCTACAGGCCCCTTGTAAGTCCAAAATCCAGTGAGGCAATCATTAAATCTTAAAGCTCCAAAATGATCTCCTTTGACTCCATGTCTCACATTCAGGTCACACTTATGAAAAAGGTGGGTTCCCATGGTCTTGGGCAGCTCTGCTTCTGTGGCTTTGTAAGGTACAGCCCCCCTCCTGGCTGCTTTCATGGACTGGCGTTGAGTGTCTGCAGCTTTTCCAGGCCACAGTGCAAGCTGTCAGTGGGTATACCATTCTGGGGTCTGGAGGATGGTGGCCCTCTTCTTACAGCTCCACTAGGCAGTGACTCAGTGGGTGCTCTGATATGGGGGCTCCAGCCCCACATTTCCCTTCCTCACCGCCCTAACAGGTTCTCCATGAAGGTTCCACCCCTGCAGCAAACTTTTGCCTAGACATCTAGCTGTTTCCATACTTCTTCTGAAATCTAGGCAGAGGTTCCCAAACCTCACTTCTTGAATTCTGTGCAGGCTTGGGGCTCGCACCTGCTGAAGCAATAGCTTGAACTGTATATGGCCCCTTTTAGCCACTACTGGAGTTCGAGTGGCAGCAGCTTGGACAGAAGGTGTCAAGTCCAGAGGCTGCACATAGCAGTGGGGCCCTAGATTCGGCCCATGAAACCATTTTTTCCTCCTAGGCCTCCATTCCTGTGATAAGAGGGGCTGCTCCAAAGTCCTCTGACATACCCTGGAGACATTTTCCCCATTGTCTTGGTGATTAACACTTGGCTCCTCATTACTTATGCAAATATCTGTAGCCAGCTTGGATTTCTCCCCAGAAAATGGGTTTTTCTTTTCTATCATATTGTCAGGCCGCAAATTTTCCAAACGTTAATGCTCTGCTTCTTTGTAAACATATGTTCCAATTTCAGGTCATCTCTCTCACATTCAAAGTTCCACAGATCTTAGGGCAGGGGCAAAATGCCACCAGTCTCTGCTAAAGCATAGCAAGAGAGAACTTCACTCCTGTTCTCAAGAAGTTCCTCATCTCCGTCTGAGACCACCGCAGCCTGGACTTCATCGTCCACATCACTATCAGCATTTTGGTCAAAACCATTCAACAAGTCTCTAGGATGTTCCAAACTTCCCCACATTTTCTTGTCTTTTTCCTGAGCCCTCCAAATTGTTCCAATCTTTGTCTATTATCCAGTTACAAAGTTGCTTCCACATTTTGGGTATCTTTATAGCGGTACTCTACCCTCTGCAGTACCAATTTACTGTATTAGTTCATTCTCACACTGCTATAAGAGCAATTTATAAAGGAAAGAGATGTAATTGATTCACAGTTCTGTATGACTGGGGAGGCCTCAGGAAACTTACAATCATGGTGGAAAGGGAAAAGGCACATCTTACATGGCGGCAGGCAAGAGAGAGCATGCAAGAGCAGGGAAAGCTGCCTTATAAAATCATCGGATCTCATGAGAACTCAGTATCATGAGGACAGCATGGGGGAACCACCCCCATGATCCAGTCACCTCCCACGGGGTCCCTCCCTCGACACGTGGGGATTATGAGGATTACAATTCAAGATGAGATTTGGGTGGGGACACAGCCAAACCATATCACTGGTGGACAAACACCTTGTGAGGGCATCAGCTCATTTAATCCTCACCACCATCTTATGAATGAGGAGTGGGCATTGTTACCGACCCTGCTTCAGAGAGGTGGAAATGAAGGCACAGAGAGGTTTAGGTATTTTGCCCAAATGCACAGCACTAAGTAGGAGCAGGATTTGAACCCAGGCAGTCTAGCACCAGGTGAAAACCCTTCTTCACCCTCTCCCCATGCAGAGTTAAACCCTCCTGGTGTGGGGTGACAGACACATTACAGATGGATGCACTCATGTCCCTGTGTAAATGCACAGCTTGGGGCTTGTTCTTTTTCTCCTTTGAAAACAGATAGAGCCGTCTTATCCCGCTGATGCTTGGAGATGCCTCTCCATTTCTCACCCACCCACAGTATCCCACAGCCCCGCAGTTCCACCACTGGACTGTTTCCCACGGATGACATTTAAGTTGCTTCCCATGTTTTGTCATAACAATGTTCAGCCCTCATCATCCTTTGTATATTTTGTGTGCACTCGTGAATGTTTCTGTGAAAATCTCCCCTGGAAGTGGATGCTGTGGGTGAAGGTTTGAATGTCGTCACTGGGGGTAGATGTTCACCTACTGTTCTCAAGGTGGCACCACTTTCCAGCCCAACCTGGCCTGAGACTGTCCACTTCCCACACCTCCCCCTGCTGCAGGCTGCCAACTCCTAAGCTCGCATCTTAATATGTTCAGTTTTCAACAAATTCACACGTGCAACCAGAAACCAAGAGGAGGTTCCCCGCAGTCCCACTTTTCAGAGGCATCTTACGGTCATTCCTCCTCTTTACCACCAGCGTGGTTTGCTTTTGTCTCTAGTTCTGGATCTGTCGACCTCAGATATTACCTCTCAGCCTCGATGATCAAAGGTGGGGTCTGGCTCACTCGTGCTGGCGCTGCTGGAGGGAGGCAGTCATGGCATTGGGTTTTGCTTTTCCAGGAGGCACTTGTGGCAGCGAGTGCCCTTGTGTGTCCCCAGCGTTCCTCTCTGCTTCCATGACAGAAGATCCCAGGGTCTTTGTCTCTCCTGAGTTCCTGGAGCTCTGGAAGCCACAGGCTGGGATGACTGGAGGTGCATGGTGGGGTGTGGCAGAGATGTGGGGCTGTGGATCTGATGACACTGCAGCTTTCAGACTTGTTTTATGGGAGAGAACGAGAGAGAAACAACTTCCATTTCATTCCCTGTGGTTTGGAGATTTTCTGTGGTGCACACCCTAATTTAACCCCAAATGAAGTAATGTCATTACGACTGCCTCTGTGGTTCTGTCTTCTGCACTCACTGCGTGAGGGGACCCTGACTCTGCTCCGCGCCTCCTCTCGGCCACCACCAGGTGCTGTCACCACCGCACTCCTCTCACCTGGTACCGGGTGGCAGGCCACCCTTTTCTACAGAGACAACTGAGTTCTGTGCTTTGTCCATAGCTGAGTTCCAAAGAAACCCTAAACTACATGTGCGTTACTACAAGTGTGTGAACACTGGTTTCCTCCCAAAGTCTGCAGAGGTGGAGCCCCCAGCCTCCCCAGACAGGCAGGAAGCTTGGCCTCCTTCCCTGCATGCCCCACCCAGCTCACGAGGAGCTAGCTGGAGACTCTGGGTACCACTGTGCGCACCCAACGCACCGTTAACACACTCAGGTATTTGGACCGCAAGTGGTACTTGTGTCTTTACTCAAACTGTTGCTGTTATGGATGTTGGGGGACAGTGGTGGTGGTGTTTGGCTAAAGAGTGACCATCATCTCAGTCTGACAGAGGCTATGCTAGTGTTAGCATTAAAAGTCCCATGTCCATACAACTCCCTCAGTAGGCTGGGTGTGGTGGCTCACGCCTGTAATCCCAGCACTTCGGGAGGCTGAGGTAGGTGGATCATCTGAGGTCAGGAGTTTGAGACCAGCCTGGCCAACATGGTGAAACCCCATCTCTACTAAATATTGAAAAATTAGCCAGCATGGTGGTGGGTACCTGTAATCCCTGCTACTCAGGGAGACTGAGACAGGAGAATCCCTTGAACCCGGAAGGTGGAGGTTGTAGTGAGCCAAAATCGCACCATTGCACTCCAGCTTGGGTAACAGAGAGAGAGGCTCTGTCTCAAAACAAACAAACAAACAAACAAACAAAAACAAATCCTTAGTCCCAAGCAAATTGGGACAGTTGGTGACGCTGGTGAAGCACGTGCTGTAAGATTTTTTCCTAAACGATGAGTGGGTAAGAATTGTTCTGAGTCTCTACCTATTCATAGTCATCATTCTTTTTCCTTTTCATGTCAAAGCTAGTTTGATTCCTAGTAGGATTCTAGGTTAAACGACAGTTTCTTCTCAGACCTCTGGAATAGGTCCCATTGGCAGGCCACCCACATTCTCCTGAAAGCATTCTTGACTGTCCACCTGCATCAGTCCACAGGACGGAGCCACACACCTGCTCTCCTCCACCTTAGGTCAATTCCATGCCCACCTGGGGCGCACTCTGCAAATGGCAGCAACTTGTAAGGTGCAGTAGGTCCTTACTTGATATCGTCAGTAGGTTCTTGGAAAGTGCAGCCTTCAATGAAAGGACATGTAATAAAATCCATTTTTTCTCCTTAGGATGAAATGATGTTGAAGGAAAGAATGTTATTTAAGCACCTGCTGTCTGTCCTTTTGTTGAAAGTTGCCGTTTCCAAGAACCTAATGACGACCTTAAGTGAGGAATTAGTGTGCTCATAAAATGTTTTAGAAGTTTTACGCTTACAGGAAAATGGTGAGGATAATGCAGAGTTCTCCTGTAACAGAAATTTCTACTATTATTCACGTCTTATATGAGATGGGCACATCCTGTCCCAGTGTTTGAAGACTGGACAAGCCCACTCCCGCGATGCACAGCTGGGGCACGCCCCTCCATGGTGGGGTGACCTGGCCCTCTCGCCCAGTGACGTCCTCGTGCTTTGTGTCACTTGAATCACAAAATCTGACTGAAAACAAAAGTCCATGAATGTCCAGGGCGGCCACCAGACGTGTGCAAGTAAGTCTCATGAAACAAAAGCTTCCCTGGATGGGGACAAAACACACTTCCTTCTGCTTGTCGCCATCCCTGGCTCCTTCCACTCGGTCCGTCTCCATGACGTGTTCCTCTGCTGCTCTTCCTCTGAATAAAAAGGAAACACGCCTCGTAAGGACAGCAGTGCCGGGCTGGAGCCGCGTCTCCCCATCAGCACTGATGGCGTGGTGCCTCTTGGCCAGCCCTTCTCTCTCCGCACCAGTATTTTTCCTTTCTTCTAGAACCTCCTCTTGGCTGAGGCCTCATGGGGAAAATAGAGGCACTGGGCCCCAGGGAAATGCCAGCACCCCGGGCCGGAGAGTAGCCGAGCTCCAGACTGAGTCATGGCTCCGAGGGCCACAAAAGCTGGTTCGTGCACAGCAGCCGCGCTGGGCCCCGGCAGACACAACAGAATGCGTTTCCTCACACAAACTGCGCTTGGCAGATGTCGCCTAAAAGACAGGAACACTGAAATTCCAACAGAACGACCAGGGGTGGCTCTGTCCTGGCAGGCTGAAGGCTGTAAGGGACACCCTGTTTCTGGAAGGTCAGCGTGAAATGCTGGTGGGCACCCACTCCTCACCTCCGTGACAGGCACGTGTGTTGGCTCCACCAGGGTGCAGAAGCCACACGAGCTGCTTTAACAGAAGAAATTCATGTAAAGAACAGCTCTCGGGGCGTGGGACTGTTAACCAGGAGGGTGTGCAGTGCACGCACTGTCCAGGTTCCGGTCCGTTTTCCTCCCATAGTCATCACCCTGTTGGGCGTTTCATGTTGTTGCTGTGAGAACTTGCCATTGCTTGAGTGAGTCACGCTGACGTGGCTCCTGCTCCGGGGTTTCCAGTCTTGCTGCTCCTAGACTGACTCAGCGCTGGTCATTAGGCGCTGTCCATCAAGGGGAACTTGCCCTGGGCATGGAAAATGCTGACCAGCTCCCTGTTTTGGAAAATGACCTCATCCCCAGGCTGCCCACAGGAGGTGGAGCATGCCAGTGCCGTTCCTTACTGGTGTGTATAGCACTGTTTTTGTTGTTTCTGTACAGCCTGTGGAGTGTACTTCTATAGCTGTCATTTCACCCCTGTGTTTTCCCGGCCTTGGGCGAGGGTCCCACGCTGCTGGGAATGAAAGCTTCCTGTTTCCTCGGTTGCTTTCACAGTCCCTCCGTCTTCCAGAGAGAGGTGTTTTGTTTTGTTTTGTTTTGTTTTGTTTTGTTTTGTTAGAGACAGGATCTCACTCTCTCACCCAGGCTGGAGTGCAGTGGCACGATCTCGGCTCCCTGCAACCCTGCTTCCCAGGCTTACACCGTCCTCCCACCTGTGAAGGGAAAATAAATCTCGGGCCCCCAAACTCAAGCCAAAGGGAAAAGTCAAGCTGGGAACTGGGTCGTGCAAACCTCCCTCCCCTTTTGGTCCCTAAATAAGATGCTGCAAGATGAAAAGCTACATACCTCCCCTATATTTTACCCACAAGGAAATTCCTAGTGAGCTCTGAGATCTTTACTCTAAGGTGTTTCTGTTAAGATTTCACGATGGCAATGCAAATTCACAGCTCATCTTTACGGGTGCAGTCAACCCCTGCCCGACAGACACAAATGCATACCTGATTGTTCCCCTGCCCCATTTGTCTATGTCATCTTGTGTAAAAATAATGCAGATTCAATGAGCCAAAGGCGTGACTATTTTTCTCTACCCGCCTTTTACATGAAAATTGTATACTTGTCATTATCCCACCCTTTCCCCTTTAAATTTGGAGCCCTCAAAATCATCTTCAGAGAAAGGTACAGACTGTTTCCCGGGTGTTCGTCCTCAGCTTTGGCAAATCTCCTAAAATGATTGAGACTTGTCTTGTCATTTTTCTCAATTGACACACCTCAGTCTCCCAAGTAGCTGGGACTACAGGCATGCGCCACCAAGCCCAGCTAATTTTTGTATTTTTTTGTAGAGACGAGGTCTCACGTTGTTGCCCAGGCTGGTCTTGAACCCCTGAGCTCAGACAATCTGCCCACCCCAGCCTCCCAAAGTGCTGGGATTACAGGCGTGAGTCACTACGCCCAGCCGAGAGAATTTTAAAACCACTAAGGAAATAGTGCCATTGTTAGGAATCAGAGACTTAATGTGCTGTTTCATGTAGTGATTCCTGTCGTTTTACTTGCAAAGTTGGCTTCAATTATCTTGAATTATATGAACTGTCAGAAAAGCCCTACAGTAGATGATGGTAATGAAAAGACATCCTTTAGCAGACAGGGAATAGGACTGATTCACTGATGCATCTGAGTTGGAATTTTTGTTTCTAAAAACCTTGTAATTAAATTCCCTGGTGAGAGCACAGTAGCCTTCATAAATGGGAAAACAGAAAAATCGAAGTAGTTCTCAAACTGTCCTGGAATCTTAAAGTCCAGGGGGCACCTGGCAGAGGGGAGCCATGGAAAGATGGCAGGGAAGGGAGGGTTAAGGCGAGGCCAAGATAAGCCAAGCAGGACTGTTCTAGTTTGTCTTTCTTATTTTGTTCTTAAGAAAACTTGCTGAATGTAGCTGGATTCAGATCTTCCTGTTTGAAAACAAAAAAGGCAATAAAATGAAACACCCGACGTGTCCTCTGCCGTTCCCCAGCCCTCCTGCCTCTACCTGCCGTGGGTGAGCACTCTTCAGGGTGCCTGGTGGAGAGGCCCCTGCCCTCCCCTGCACGGAGGTGGGGTGGCCTTAGGCCAACAACCATCAAAGAACTCAGGCCCTCAGTTCAGTGACCTGGGGGAGCAGGAGGGAACTGGGTCCAGTCAGCAGCCATGGGCATGAGCTTGGATGCAGAGGCTCCAGGGGAGCTTTCAGATGAGACTGCAGCCCTGGCTGACACTGCACTGTGATCTCATGAGAACGTGAGCCTGAGGAAGGGGCTCCTCCCTGGGTGGGATGTCCTGCCTCAAAGCTCAACGCTCTGCTGCTGCTGTCAGTGCTGTGTTTTGAGGGGGATGCCCCGTGCTGCACTGACCAGCTCTAACCTTGGGGACTCTGCAGCCCTGGTCATGGCCTGGGGACCCCTTCGAGGTGACCTTTCAGCACAGGTACTGGGTGGGTACCCACCCCCAGCCTCTGCCAGACCTTGCCCAAGAGGCACATCCCTCTTTGCTGCACTGTGGACCTGCCTGCCCAGGTACTGGGGCACTTGGTCATCTGGGGGCTGTGACCATTACTGGGATGAGGCCTGAACTCCAGGTGGAGATCCCTTTCCCAAGCCTGCCCTTCCCGGAGCCCTGGGACCTCCCAGAGTCCTCTTGACCTGTGTGGTTCTGCTTGTACAGGTTAGAAACTTCTAGTTCAGCTTCCCTAGCTTAGCCCTGCCGGTCTTCTGCTGAATGCCCAGAGAATTGGGGGACCCATGGCGCCTCCCCTCTGCCCACTCCTTCCCTGCCCGCCTGCCCATGAGGCTCTGCCACGCAGCTGCTGTAGGGCTTTTCACCTGGCCCTCACCTGTGGGGCCTCCGCCTCATCCTCAGCTCTCCCTGTGGATTGACCACAAAGTGGTCACTCAGAGTCCCTCAGGGATGGTTTCAGAGCTTCACCGGCCTCCCTTCCCCACCCTGCAACCTTCAAAGCCTGAGCGCACGCCCCACACACGCTCTTCCCAACAGAGAAAAATGTGACCCCATCCATGTCCTGCCCCAGACACCCAGGAGCTGCAGTCCTCTCCCCTTTCCGCACAGTGGAAGCTTCTCCAGGGCTGGAGATGCCCACCCTCCCAGCGACTCCTGCCCGGCAGACTCCGATTCCGACCCTGTTCTGTCCGCATGGCCCCTTTCCGGCCCCATCTCCTCTGCCCATCTCCTGAGACCTCTCTAAGGCCCCTAGGCTCCTGAGCGGGCCCCAGCAGGGCCCCTAAGCTCCATGATTCTGCACTGCCTGGGCCTTCCCTCCTGCCCCCCAACAGAAGGCTGAGCTGCCATCAGGGGCCTCTTCATGGTGTGCAGGTGCCCCCCACCCCGGCCTCCCCTCCCCCATGGCCTCTCCGCCCCTCCCCTCCCCCATGGCCTCTCCCTCTGCCCTTCCCCATGGCCTCTGATCCTCCCCCCTCCCCAAGTGCCTGCTCTTCCATCCATTCTCCAGATCTGCGCATCACACACATAACATTCACACACATGCATACATTCACACCCACACAAGTCACATTCACACACGCACATTCATCCACACATGTACAAGTCACACATTTTCACAAGTGCATGTATCCATACCCACACAAGTCACACACATTCACACATGCACACCAGTATCCACATGTACAAGTCACATTCACACTAGCACATTCATCCACACATGGCACAAGTCACACATTCACACACATGCAGCACATTCACACCCACACAGAGTCACACACATTCACACACGCACATTCATCCACACATGTACAAGTCACACATTCACACACATGCAGCATTCACCCACACAAGTCACACACATTCACACACGCACATTCATCCACACATGTACAAGTCACACATTCACACAAGTGCATACATCCATACCCACACAAGTCACACACATTCACACATGCACACCCATTCATCCACACGTAACACAAGTCACGACATTCACACAAATACGCCCTTCACACATCCACACCACGTCCACACACACGTACATTCACATATAAACATTCACACATTCTGCGTGCACACACATCCACATCCACACACATCACGCACATTCACATATAAGCATTCACATTCACACGTGCACACATCCGCATCCCACACACATCCATTACATTCTGCTCTAAACATTCACACATTCACACGTGCGCACATCCCATCCACACACATCACGTACATTCACATATAAACATTCACACATTCACACGTGCACACACATCCACATCCACACGCATCACGTACATTCACATATAAACATTCACACACATTCACGTGCGCACACATCCACATCCACACACATCATTCATATAAACATTCACACACATTCACACGTGCACACACATCCACATCCACACACATCACGCATTGTTACATTCACATATAAACATTCACACATTCACGTGCGCACACATCACATCCACACACATCACGTACATTCACATATAAACATTCACACATTCACACGTGCGCACACATCCACATCCACCCACATCCATTACATTCACATATAAGCAATTCACATTCACACGTGCGCACATCCACATCCACACCTCACAGTACATTCACATATAAACATTCACACACATTCACAGTGCGCACACATCCACATCCACACACATCCACGTACATTCACACATATAAACATTCACACATTCACACGTGCGCACACATCACATCCACCCACATCACGTACATTCACATATAAACATTCACACGTGCGCACACATCCCATCCCACACACACATCACGTACATTCACATATAAACATTCACACGTGCGCACACATCCACATCCACACATCACGTACATTCACATATAAACATTCACACGTGCGCACACATCACATCCACACACATCATACATTCACATATAAACATTCACACATTCACACGTGCGCACACATCACATCCACACACATCACGTACATTCACATATAAACAACATTCACACGTGCGCACACATCCACATCCACCCACATCACGTACATTCACATATAAACACATTCTGCGTGCGCCACACATCCACATCACACATCACGTACATTCATATAAGCATTCACTGCGTCGCCCTACATCCACAGTACATTCACACCTATAAACATTCACACGTGTACACATCATCCACACATCTTTACCATTCACATATAAACATTCACACACATTCACAGTGCGCACATGTCCCATCCCACACACATCACGGCCACATTCACATATAAAGCATTCTCACCCACACATTCACCGTGCCCACATCCACACACATATCATTGCATTCACATATAAGCTGTTCCACACTGCACGTGCGCACATCCACATCCACACACACATCACGTACATTCACATATAAACATTCACACATTCCTGCGATGCGCACACATCCACATCCACACACATCACGTACATTCACATATAAACATTCACACACACACACATTCATCCACACATGTACAAGTCACACATTCACACACATGCATACATTCACACCCACACAAGTCACACATTCACACACGCACATTCATCCACACATGTACAAGTCACACATTCACACAAGTGCATACATCCATACCCACACAAGT